TTGAAAACTATTTCTAAATATAATGATTTTAAAAAAAATACTTAAAAATTTTTTTTAATTAATATATAAATTTATTTATTAATACTATATTAAAAAAACTCTTTTCACTAATCTTTTGACTACATACAAAAAAGATAAAGTCTTAACACTTTCTTTAAAACAACTTGAAGTATGACTTTAAGAGTTATTTCTTTCTATTTTTTATTGTTTATAATTCTCTTTATTTAAAAACTTGACTTTTAATAGTCAAGAAAAATCAAGTAATACCTTTGATATTAATGATAAAAATTCCCAAAGAAAGAAAAACTGATTGTAAAGTATCTAAAGACTTTTTCAATTTTTAAAATAAAAGATTTATAGTAATTTGTTGCAATTAAAAAATTTATTTTCTCATTTTTGAAGTCTTTATTTTTTTAAAACTCTTATTTTCATAGTTTTTTGAGAAATTTTACCTACTTCAATTTGATTTTGAATTTTAAGTTATATATATTCTTATTAAAAATAATTGGTTAATACAAAATATATTAGTTATTAAAAAAGTAAACAAGCTCTTATCATATAATTTAATGATATCAGTAGTGATATAAAAAAAAAGTTTTGAAAGATTTTTATCTTTAACTAAGCAAGTTCTCCAGTAGTAATCATAGTTTTGATTCAAATCTGATTGATCCATAAATCATATATGAATCAGATCAAATCAAATTTAAAATTTTTAATTTGATTAAATTCAAATCAAATTGAATTTTAATTCTGATTAAATATAGTTGATTTTAAATCAAATTCAGATCAAATCCAATATAATTCAAATTGAATTTTAATTAATTCATATAATTTATTATATAATTATTTAATTTTATATAAATTGAACTATCTAAAAAATTAAAATAAAAAAACTTGTTTTTTTAAAATAATAATATAAAAGAGTTAAAAAAAAAAAATCTAATACTTGTTCTTTTTTACAATTTTTTTAATATTTTTTTATGATATTATAGTTTTACTATATAATTACTTTTATTATATTCTTTGTTTTTGATAATTTATTTTTTTTTAAAATAGAACATGAAAACTCATTTAATAGCATTCAATTTGTATACAATAAAAATAGTGATTTAACTAATTATGACAATATCAACATTTAAAATGCTAATACAAGCAATCCATCAGAATTGGCCTCAGTTATCTCAACAATTTCTAAAAGCAAAGTAAAAAAACACTTTATAAGAAATACAAGTTTTAAAGAGAATAAAAAAAAGCTATCTATAAATATTGTAGGACAATATATACTTGTAGTTTAATCATAGATAGGGATATAAATGGAGCTCGAGAGATCTTCCTTCGAGCATTGCTTGATGTAGAAATTAATGACTGTACTTAGCAATGACTAGTATAAATTATTAATGGTGTATTACAAACCATCTACAAACCATTATTGATAAATTGGATAAATTGGGATATTTTATTTAGATACATTTCCAAAAAGGAAATTTAGTTTTTTTAAAGAATGAATGTCTATTCGATGACTTTGAGGCTTCAAAGTTTTCAACATGCAACTATATACAATGTTTTATAATAATTATTTTTCAACAGAACCCAATAAAAATCGCCAACGATCTATGTATGTTATCTTACTACGAAGCGCCTTTAGGAAAAAAAAAAAAAAGGTATATTCAAAACCACTCCAAGTACCGTACTTTTTCAAGCTATAAAAAGCTCAAAGTCAAGGGACTCTGAAATTTCATGTTTTTGATGTCACAGCCTTCAATTTGGCTTAGAACTTGATTTGTCAAATATTCCATGTAGGAAATGCATTGCTCACATCGGTAATCAACAGGTTTCATTTTTGCTAGACCGATTACAATATTTTGACATACACCCATAAGATCAGTAATCTTAGTGGGATTCTCTTCTTCCTCAACATTTGCAGTCGCGACGAACAAAAGGTAATCCAGAAAAATCTGCGATTAAAATTTAATTAATATCATAAAAGAAATTTTGGTTAATGCTAACAAGACATAATACATACTTTCCCACCAAGATCCCAATCAGGCACAGATTGTGGGTCTATCTTCTCAAGTATCTCCTGTAATTCTTTATGCTTCTTGTGCAAAATACTCTCAGGAGCAATTTTAGTTATGACTATTTTATGTGCATCAGAAACATCACCGGCGTTCAACAGATACATTGCTTCATCCACTGTTTCTTCTTTATATTTTGAATACAAAGCCTATAAGAGAAATGTAGAACGCAAGGGATTAACTGAGTGATTACCGAAGTAAAAGGTGAAAAGGTAAATTACCTTTGCTTTGGCGATCCATGCTCGTGGAATTTTTATTTGATCAGCAAAATTCTCAATGCTCTCTAATTGATCAACCGGTATCGTCGATACTAGGCGATTCAACAACTCACAAATGACTGTTTTCCGACTTCAATAAAATGTCAGCAAGGTGCACCTTAAAAACTAAAGAAAAAATTGAAACTATAAAATTACTTACACGTGAGGTTCGTTTAGAAACAACGAGGCGAGAAGGGCCCATCGCCACAATCCCAAGACCTCTAATTGAGTCACGAGATTCGAGGTTACAAGATCGGCGCTTGAACCCTGATCCACAAAATCTCTAATTCTTAATGTGCGCGCAAGCATGACATGCAATAACCACGTCACCCGATAATCCAGAGGTGAGGTGTGATTGAACGCGGAAGTATTGCATTATCTAGGGAGTGAGTTTTATCAACAGCAAGTTTTAATAGATGATAATGCACATCATAGATTTCATCCACATTTTCTGATTCAGGCCAAGACAGCGAAGGTTTCCTTTCAAATTCTTCTTTATACCATGGTATTGGCACGACCCCCGAATTCTTCTGAGCAGTTTCGTAATCATTAAAGGACGCCGCGAAGGTTTCATCTAGGTAACGACCGTACCACAAGTGCATACCCAACGCGCGCTTCCAATCCAACCCTTTATTTGATGCCGCAACATTTCCAGCCATGATTTCATAAAGTCTCAAATATCCCTTAGGAATAAGCTTTACCAAACCAGTCTCCTGCCAATGATCAATTTGATTTTTTATTTTATCTTTAAAAAACTTGTCGTTTCCACACAATTGTGACAAAAGAGCCGCCAAACGGAAATCGCGGTTTTTTACCGCCGTTTTAGAGGCGTTCAGAATGTTTCTACTAGTAAGATATCCAAAAATGATTTCTCCTTTATCATTCGAGGATATTGCACGTTTGATGTGAGCAGTTGTCTGTGATGAAACGGCTTCTTTAAACCATTTCGATATTCGTTCTTTTCTATATTCCTCGGTTAATTTATCGAAATCTTCGGAATCAGTTCTATTGACGCCAGGGATAACAATGTCGTCCCACAGGGCATAACCAAGTTTCCAAGTTAGAGTCTCATGCTTGGATATAGTTCCATTTTCAAAGGATTTCAACAAATTTTCAAAGTTGACCCTGGCAAGATCAACATCGACATGAGGTATGCCATCTTCTCGGCCAAAAACGGAATTTTCGAAAATAAATTTCATTGAACTATCATGTCGCACCTTTTCCTTATCCTATGTTAGCACGGCATTCATTAATATCCATCTGACATTGGTAAAAATTAAAGAGTTATGAACACAGACCTCGGTGTCGGCGAATAATCTAATTTTTTTGAATTGAATTATTGTCGGCATCCCGGTGTTCTTGCTTAATCCAGTATTAACATTTTTTGGAGAAAACGCGGATCTAAGTGAATTGATACGGAATTTATAAACAAATTGCGTGAACGAAAAAGAACTTAATACAACCAAACCACCTACATTACGTTCGAGATACCGCATACTTTACTGCAACGAACCAATGTCCCGTTGGGCCCCCACCCTACCCTAAAAGATCTTCCCATCATAAGTCCGAGGTCTTCCTTACAACTATCTTTACCAAAAACAATTGAATCTGCATAATCAACAATCTTGCGGTACTTGCTCGGTAACCTGATGACCACGTCTTCGTGAGATATACGCGGTGTCTTGACAAATGATTGACGAGGCTTACAATCATATACAAAGAATACAATAGATAAACATGTTAGACAATCTGACTGGAGGTTTACTTTAAATGACAAAATTTATTACAAAAAAAAAAAATTCGGATTTGTATACAAATTCATAAGACTTTGAGAAGTCTGAAATACTACAATAATGACTATGTATAGACTAATTTACGGTGTAAACTAGACATAATGTTAAGTTTGAATGGTTTTAATGCAGAGCCGGGTTATTTCATTAGCTTCAACTCACCTCTACGACGGAAGAACGATTTTCAATTTCGATATCCTCATCATTATCATCATTTTCCAAATTTCGTTTGTGCGAATCATCAAATTCTTCAATTATACTATCTCCACCAATGTCCATTTGCATGTAATCCTCTTCATTTGAGTCGTTAAATAAAACATTTTGCATTTCATCAATATCATCTGGATCTTGTCCAAGGCTTTCCGGAAAATTTGCAACTGGCTTAAGTTTATCGTCGTCATATTCCTTTTCTTTTCCTTTTCGTGACCGCGGAAAAGATTTTGTTTCGGTCATATTAATGATAGGAACTTCGAAGGGTCGATACTGCTTCTCTTCGAACTGATCTTCAGGGTCATCAAGAATAAGACCATAAGTTGTAAAATGCTCCACTTGAAAAACCCAGCTACCCGTTTCCGGAAGGAAAGTAATATATTTGGTGTCTAAGACATTTTTTAATCTTTCGACTCGGTGCCGGTAACGGAAATCCTCAGGGTCTTTAATTGGACGTCGATCACTCTTGTCCAAGGCCCAACAACGATCCAAAGTAATAATTGCCTTTTTATTAAGACCCTGCCCTGGTGGAGGCTTATTATACTCCGAACCATAAACAGTGCTACTCTGATCTTCGAAACGAATAACTTTTCCCAGTACGTCATCAAGTGGAATGTCACTGAAATCTACTGGCTCTTGAAACTCGATTTTACCGTAATTGGTTCTTCCGGCCATAAATCCAACAACCGATTTTAATTCTTCTGCTCTCATTTCCGAAAGATCTTTAATTGATGGAACAGAGTAATAACCATCGTTATCAGGAGATGTTAGGGTAAATAACTCTTTCTTTGGTGAATCTTCGGTCTCTATAGCGCGCAACCTGGATGACTCCTTTGGAGGTGCATTTAACGGAGTCTTTGATGGAGTCTTTGACGGAGTGGATGCTATATTATCAGAAAACTCGGTTTGCTTAATACTAGGTTTACGAATATTGGGACTAAACGAGTGATAAATATTGTCCGCTCCAGACTCAAGCTTGGCATCGAATGATACCCTCTGTTTTACAGGAGTATGATCGTTTTGGGGAGACCCAACCCGAGAATCAGTTTCGGATATCATCTCCTCCGGCTCGACCGAACGATCTAACACTAATTTTCGGGGATTACGTTTTGTAAACGCCTCAGGATTCAATATCTCTTTTTTGTCTAAAGATTCAAATATATGCAACGGTTTAACATCAGGCGTTCCGAATCCTGGATAAGTGTGAGAACTAAACCCAGGGAGTTTCAGCTTTGAGCTTGGTTTTGGTGTCAACTTATAACTAGGAGTCCCGCCACTTTTCTTTCTTTGAGGAGTAGTAGTCACTGGTGTTGCTGCTACGGATGGTTTGGTTGGTGTCGCGGTAGGTGTGGTTTCTTGAAACACAGATATTTCTCCATAAGGAGCCTTGTTAACAGTGGCCTGTAGTCCTTGCGTCTGCCCGATATTCCCAAAAGCTGTAGCGGTACCGGCATTTCCGAAAGATAACGTAGATCCACTACCTAGAAAGCTCGATGGCTGTGTTTGTAGGGTACTTAGGCCAGATCCACCAAGAATCGGAGCAGCAGGTTTATTAAATGCGCTAAACCCGATTCCTAAACTAGGCGCCGAAGTACTTGCGGGCGGATTAAGGGTAAATAGATTGCCAGAAGTGGTGGTTGTAGTTCCAAATAAACCAGTCCCAGTACTTCCTGGGGCTGCTAAAAAATTGAAAGTAAATATTAAAAAGACATGTTTAGTTGGAACATTTAATAATTTAATTACTGATTCACTTGCCTTGATTAAATGCGAATGTAGGTTTAGTAGTTGCACCAAATGTACCTAAACTTAAGGTTTGTGGATTGGTAGTAGCTTTATGTACAGATGAAATTTATATTTTGTTATTGAAAAAATGATAATGATGATAACCATATAATACTTTTATATACTAACCACTAAATCCACCGAAAGATGGGGTCGTTGATGGAGTTCCGAAGCCACTCGCTACAGATGTTGGTTTGTTTCCTATTGTAAGAGAAAAAATATTTAACATTAAACCTAGAGCTTCTTGCATAAAATTCAAATTACCTACCAAAACCAAAAGATGGAGCATTAAAACCTCCAGTTGCACCAAATCCAGATGCAGATGTAGAAGGTTGCGTCTTTGCGCCGAATAAGCTAGATTGCGTACCAGTGGAAGTCGAACCGAACAAACTACCACCTATGGAAATTTTGTTCGTGAGAACCAAGCAATTATTACAAATTAAAATAATAAACCAAAAACAAATATCAAGTAAATACCTCCAAAACCGGACCCTGTTCCAAAGCTAGCTGTTGCCTGTGTAGTACTGCCAAAACCTCCTGTAGGTGCGCCGAATGCAGGCTTCTGTGCTCCAAAGAGAGATTGAGTCGAAGGACCGGCAGCTGGTGTTGCGCCAAATCCAACTGTTGGTGTGGTATTACCAAACGCAAAAGATGGTGTACTTTTAGCACCGAAAGCGGGAGTTTGACTGCCGAAACTGCCAAATCCACTGCCAGTACTTGTGGTTCCATATGTCGGTGTATTAATCCCCACATAACTCGATCCCATTGCCGAAGGTTTTCGATTTAATTGATAGTCTGACATTCGAAGTTCCTATGAATTCGAATTCATTTCGCTTAGATTAAGGAAGACATTTTTTCTAAAAATAAAATCATACCTCGAATGAAAAATTCCTGTATTGAGGCATTGCGGTAATGCTATGAAAAGTGTTCAAAGCACCAGATGGATCTTTATCGCTCGTCGTTGCATATGGCGGGTTTAATGTGCCATTAGGAGCTGTCACGCCTGAAGCCAAGGTTGCAAAAAAAAAAAAATAAAAGATCTTGGACAGAGAATAACATAAAATGCAAGTCTGCAAAAATATGTGAAGACGAACTTACCGCTAGTACTACCAAAAGGATTTCCACCTCCAAACATGCTGCCAGAAGAAGCTAATATCAAGTGAAACATTTACCAATAAGCTTGACGCGTAAAATCAGAGATCATAAACATAAAAGTACGTACTCTGCCCAAAAGCAAAACTAGACGAACCCGCCGAGGGCCTGAACCCACCAAAACCAGTTCCTCCTGCTGAAGTTGATGCTCCAAACCCACCTAAGAAGCGAAGTTAATGAGAAAAAAATTTAGCATATTTAAGTTACACGATTTGAATTATTTCCCGAATAAATACCGAAAGGTGCTCCAAACAATGATTGTGGTTGACTTTGTGATCCAAAGCCACCTCCAAATGTACTATTTTGACTACCAAACATAAAGTTTCAATATCTTTCGAGATAACGAATATATGTTATGGATTCTGTGATGTTATCAAAAAAGTTCTCTTGACTTTTATATGTGCCACAAAAACTACGCAGCATGACGCAGTGACTGATCTGCCTGCTTAATAATACGATTTTTTATTGGTGGCGTTACTGCGCATTAACATTTATATACTGTAATCTGATTGGTAATTCGATTTATAGATTAATAAGATTTACAATATCTTTTAAAAAAAAAATTTAAAAATTGTTTGATTTTTTTTTTTTTTTAAACCCTTGGTCAGGCCAGTACTGTGTGTTTATTAATCATATGAAAACCGATAGCAATACATAGGACAATTGCATCATGGCTAAACTAAAAGCTCATACTGATATACTTGTCAACAGCTATCAATTCTCAAAAGAGCTTCGGCCTCTAAGTATAATCTTGGGAACAATATTTTGCTCTGGACTAAGTTTTGGGTAAAGACCCTCCTAACTTACTCATCATTGCCAGCAGGTTGTCATTGCTTATTATCTTCCAAGGAACTGTATTCTAGAAATTACGAAAGGGAAAAGGAAAAATAAAAGGAAAAGGGAATATCTAAAAATATACAAATGCACATACATGAAAATGAAAAGAAAAAAGAAAATTAAAATGCTCCATGTCCTCCAAAGGACTTCAGCTAAAAACCTCTT